GAAGGAAGCTAACTATTTTGTGAAAAAAGAGAAGGCTTAAAATTAAATTATCTCTAAAAAACTACTCATAATTGCGTAGGAATATTTCCTTTTTCAATTTTCAGGGATATTAGGATAAACATAAAGGGCGTAAAAGAAAAAATTAAATAAATACCTGTTAAGAAAAGACGGAGGCTAATTATTTTATGAAAAAATAGAAGGATTAAAATTCAATTCGCTCTCACAAAATGCTCATAATTTGGTAGAAAAATGTTCTTTTCTGATTTTCAGGCATATTTGGAAAGGGCGCAAAAGAAACAAGTAAGTGGTTCTTGTCGGGAGCTCCCGACTAGGGGATACCCTGAACTCTCTTATTCCACCCCCAAATGCAACTAGCGCTACGCGCTCGTTTGCTTTAGTAGTAATAAAGATAAATTACCAAAAAAAAAACAAGCAAGAGGTTTTATATTAATATATATATTAAGAGAAGAAGGAAGCTAACTATTTTGTGAAAAAAGAGAAGGATTAAAATTCAATTATCTCTAAAAATGTAGTCAAATTTGGGTAAGTTAATTTCCTATTTCGATTTTCAGGCATATTTTTATCAATATAAAGGGAGAAAAAGAGAAAAAGGGTCTTTTCACTAAATTTATTTTGATTAAATGGGAATAAGGACAAAAGAAAAAATTAATTTAAGACAAGGAAGGTTATTATATTATGAAACGAGAAAGAAGGACTTTCTTCGGCACTCCGAAGATTTGAAGCCCTTGCAGACTAACCTTTTCATAATGCTCAAAGTGCTTTGCCCGTATCCAAGAAGCACAGGAAAAATAGTTAATGCCGAGTATGGTTCAGATATCTTGAAAAACAAAAAAATTTTCCATACAACATCTTAATTTTCGACCGATCGTTTCTATGGCAGCTATATGATATAGTAGTTCGATGTAAATCAGATTTTGCATAAATGAAGGGAGCATAGTAAAACTAACATTTGCCGAGTTTGGACAAGATATCTGGAAAAACAAACAAATTTTCCATACAACAGCTTAATTCTCGACCGATCGTTCCTATGGCAGCTATATGATAGAGTAGTCCGCTGTAGATAAGATATTGCAAAAATGGAGGGAGCATTGTATAACTAATTAATGCCGAGTTTGGTCAAGATATCAAGAAAAGCAAAAACGTTTCCATACAACAACTTAATTCTCGACCTATATATTTGATAAAGTGGTCCGATTTTGATAGGATTTTGCATATATATGAGGAGTACAGTAAAACTAATAAATGCCGTTTGGTCAAGATATCTTGAAAAAGAAAAATATTTTCCATACAACAACTTAATTCTCGACCGGTCGTTTCTATGGCAGCTATATGATATAGTAGATCGACGTAAATCAGATTTTGCATATATGAAGGGAGCATTGTAAAACTAATTAATGCCGAGTTTGGTCAAGATAACAAGAAAACCAAAAATGTTTCCATACAACAACTTAATTCTCGACCTATATATATGATAAAGTGGTCCGATGTTGACAGGATTTTGTATATATATGAGGAATACAGTAAAACTAATAAATGCCGTTTGGTCAAGATATCTTGAAAAAGAAAAACATTTTCCATACAACAACTTAATTCTGGACCGGACGTTCCTATGTCTGCTATACGATATAGTTGTCCGATGTAAAAAAGATTTTGCATAAATAGAATGAGAATAGTAAATCCAATAAATGCCGAGTTTGGTCAAGACACCTTGAAAAACAAACAATTTTCCAAACAACAGCTGGCTCCGACATGTGTACTGCGTGCAACAGAAGGAGGCATTTTTGCAAAGTTTTATAAAGATAGATTTGTAACTGAGAGACAAGTTTGCTTAGAAACAGACAGACGGACAAACGGACATGGCTATATCGACTCGGCTGTTGATACTGATCAAAACAATATATACTTTATCGCGTAAGAGATGTCTGCTCCTAGACAAAATTATAAAACCCTCTGATTTAAATCAATTATCTCTAAAAAAAAATAGTCATTATTGGGTAAGAAAATGTCCAATTTCGATTCTCAGCCATAATAGGATCAATATAAAGGGCGTAAAAGAAAATTTGAGTTTTTCACTATATATATTTTGATTAAAAGGAAAAAAGGATAAAATAAAATTAAATTGATGTATTATCCTATATCTATATTCAGGGGCTTTACTTTATATATTTTGATTAAAAGGAAAAAGAAAAAATTAGATTGATATATATTAAAAGAAGAAGGAAGCTAACTATTTTGTGAAGAAAGAGAAGGATTAAAATTCAATTATCTCTAAAAAAACTAGTCATAATTGGGTAGGAAAATTTCCTATTTCGATTTTCAGGCATATTTGGATAAATACAAAGGGCGTAAAAAAAAATGGGGATTTTCAATAAATATATGTTGATTAAAAGGAATAAAGGAAAAACAAAAAATAATAAAATTAATACCTGTTAAGAAAAGAAGGAAGCTAATTATTGTATGAAAAAATTAAAGGATTAAAATTTAATTCTCTCTCAAAAACTGCTCATAATTTGGTAGGAAAATGTCCCATTTTGATTTTCAGGCATATTTGGAAAGTGCGCAAAAGAAACAAGTAAGACCCCTGAACACTTTTATTCCAAGAAAAATAAAAAAAAAAAGTTCCTTTGGCAGGGTCGATCTCGTAACTGACCGCAATACTTGTTGCCGCCTCTAATAAACACCCACACCAATAACTGAGTGTTGATGAGAAAAAACGAATTAAAATAGCAGCACAGAAAACAATACAATCGCAATTGCAATGCTGTGGGTAGAATTCAAAAAAGACGCGCATGAATTTGTGTGTGTACATGTGTACAGAAATTCTTGGAATTTGTGCTTGCTGCCGCTGATAGGAGAAAAGTCAGAACACGTTTTTTTAAATCATTTCTGTGTTTCTTAACCGATCTTGATGAAATATTGTAAAGTACATCTTATTGTACTATAGAATATTCGTATATTATCAAGAAGTCATTTGCATTTAAATTGTCGCTTATATTTATGGGCAGCATAAATTGGTGTTTTTACTTGGTTTATAGCTTTGAGGTATTAGCGGGGAGGTGGCGATAGCTATAAAATGAAAGATACTTGATATATATATAATTAGATTTTTCTTTATTTACTGTGAGTTTGAATCTTATAAAAACCGCGCACAGCTCTAACGGTTAAATTAAATTAAAGACAAGGCGATATTTCACGACGAGTTCATTTATTGAAGAACAACTTAAGACTAACAGATAAGTGTGCATTGAGTTATAACGAAAGCTAATTTCGGGCATTTAAATGTTTACAATATTATAAAGGCTGGGAACGAAGTTACTCAGCGTTGGTTGGGAACGCAAATTTGCTGAACAGTGAGTTATTTCGATCAATGCTGATCGATGGGGGAGAAGCCCGGCTTAGCTGCTCTTTGTTTACAAGTGCAGCCTGTGAAAGTTTACATTATTGGAATGGGAAATTTTGTGTCTAGACTTATGTATAACGTGGACATCAGAATATATTATGTATAACGTAGACATAGAATATGTCACTTCCCTCTCCTTAAGAGGCGAGCCTGCGAGTCAAGGTGACACTGAAGGGTAAAGTTTTGGCAATGTTATTTGTGTCATCTCGATAATTGTGTCTCTTTATTCTTCTTCTTCTGGTTGAACCGATGGCGTTGTTTGGTTCTTGGGTTCGTGAATTTGTTTCTTGAATTTTTTATGGATTAACATTATGGGATTACAAGATACATATTTTAGATATAAGAATATAATTAAGAATATGATGGTTATGATTATGATGATTGCATATGTAAAGACATTATTTTGTGATACAATTTGATACTTGTTGCTTAAAATCATGTCATTTAATTGCATTTTGCATTGATTTATACTTATAATTTTATTGCCCTGAATATTAAGATCAACAATTTTGTTATACAGTTGTATTAGTTATGTTCCAAGTTACAATGGTATTTGGTTCAATGTATTTTATCATATCTTTGTTATTTATGCGTTCAAAGTTACAAATTGGTGTTGTGTGTGTAGTAAAATTTTTGTTATGCATTCGTCAATTACTGGTTTATTATCTCGATTATAAAAATAAGAGGTAGTACTAATGTAATCAAGTTGATAACCATTATGATCAGGATATGGGATAATTTTGATAGTGTTAGTGGATATGGATATAGTCAATTGGGATATGGGATATAATTAGTATGATATTATCTTGGTAGTTAATCCAAGTGGATGTTTTAATTAGTAGTATGTTTCGGTTATTGAGAGTTCTGCTAATAAAACTAATGGGATGTCCGTCTTGAGAGAGTACTGCTCCAAGAGCTACATTACTTGCGTCAAACGTAAAACGAATTTACTTTTAAAGTCGGGAATTTTTAGAATTGGGTCATTAGAAATTAGTTGTTTTATTTTTCAAAAGCTCTAATGTATTCAGGATTTTTAATGTCGATTTTTGAGTCTTTTCTAGGTACTGCTGTCATTGGTTAAGCTATGTCTGCAAAATTTGGAATGAACTTTCTGTAGTAACCGGTTAATCCAAGAAAACCTTTTATTTCTTTGGTTTTTGTGGGAATTGGATATTTCTGAATTGCTTCGATTTTATCAGGATTAGGTTTTATTCCATCCTTAGTTATGACATGTCCTAGGAATGAAGTTTCTTGTTTTAGAAACTCGCATTTATCAATTTGTATTTTGAGATTTGCTTCAGAAAGCTTCTCGAAAACTAATTGGAGTGATTGCAAATGTTCTTCTAAGGATGTTGAGAATACAATTATATCATCTAGATATACCAGACAATGTTTATTTAGTAACGGTCGTTAAACATTGTTCATGCAAGGTTGAAAGGTTGCGGGTGCATTTTTTAATCCAAATGGCATACGAAGATATTCATAGTGGCCATGTTTAGTAGAGAAAGCTGTTTTTTGAATGGAATCTGGATGCATTTCAAGTTGGTGGAATCCTTTTGCAAGGTCAATTGTAGTGAAATAATTGCATCTACCTAGTTTTCCTAAAATCTCGTCCATATTTGGTATTGGGTGCCTATCGCTTATGGTTACTTCATTTAATTTCCTGTAGTCAATTACGATTCTGAATTTTTGTTTACCTGAAGCATCTTGCTTTTTCGGTACGATCCATATAGGACTACAATAAGGAGAATTGCTAGGCCTTATGATACCTTGATTATGCATGTCTTGAATTTGATGTTCAACTTCCTGTTCATATGCTTGTGGATAACTGTATGGTTTTGTATGTAAGGCTGAATTGTGGGTAGTATTTATAATGTGTTTTTCTTGATTACTGAAACTAAGTTGGTCGCCTTCTTTATATTGTATGTGTTGATATTTTTTCAACAAACTGATTAAATTGATTCTTTCTTCTTCATTTAAATGATCTAATCGGTAAGGGCTTGAGCTTTGCAGATTCTTGGTTATCGGAAATTTCTCTAATTGGATTTTTAAACTGTTGATTAGTTTCAGGATTTGGTTGGGCTAAGAAGTGGCTCTGATTTGTGATTGGAATATCGTTGGTTAGTTTATACCTTCTATTGTATAAAGTAACAGTTTGGGTTTTATAATCTATAACGGCTTGTGCTTCTGAAAGCATTTTTTTACCAATTAATAGATCATAGTCTGAGGAGAATTGGTGTAGAAGAAATTCATTATTACCCTTGAATAGGTTATTAGAAAGGACGTTCACCTTCATTGTGATAGTTAAAGGTCCGTTGCTGGTTTGAATGAAACAGTCGGTGTCATGAACTTGTAAATTGAAAACATTTGATGTCATCATATTTACAGTAGATCTTGTATCTATTAAACATTTCAGATTTTTGCCTTTATAAGAGATTACTATGTACTGTTGGTTTCCAAAGCTGGAAGCTGAAAATTTTCGGCTTGCTCGATTTCTATTTCATTTGGTTGATCTGTCTCGTGTTCGGCTGATTGTGTGTATGTAAAGTCTGGGCTTTGTGGGTAACTTTCTGCTTGATAATATTGTGGATAATATTCAGGATAAGCAGCGCATTGATTATAGTATTCTTGTTGCATGTAATCATGATAGTTTAGCTCTTCCTGATTTCTAGCTTCATCGTCAATACTCATCTTACTCTGTCCACTTTCTGCAGGTCTAACTCGTTTAGTCGGTTGGTTGGCTACGCCAGAGTTATTGAAAGAGTTTTGTTGTGGGGTTACTTGTCCGAAACGATTGTTGACGAATTGGGTTTGTCGGAAGTTTGGTCTGGGTGTAAAGTAGGTTTGTCTGATTGGACTAGGTATTTGTTGCATTGGTTGAGGTGAATAATTATTAGGTTTAAAAGTGTTGTTGTTAGTATAGTTGGGTGATGGTAGATGATATGGTTGTTGAATGTAAGGTTGATGGGGTCGATATGGGACATAGGGTTGATTTGGTTGAAGAAAAGTAGGGAATCTTTGAATATTTGGGTTTGGTTGATACAATGGCTTCAAATATTTTTCTTGTTTTACTTTATTTGGGGTTGAATTAAGACAGGGTTCGTTATAAAGATTTTTTTCCTGCAAAATATTAATAAGAGATCGTAAATCGGGAATGTCGCAATTTATAATTCGAATGCAAATGTTTGTGGGTAATTTTTGAATAAGGTCGTCAATGCTAGTTTTGATTTTTTCGTCAATGTTATTTTCTAGTTCTAGCTTACTCATTAGTGTCTGCCTACGGTGTTCTGCTTCTTCCAGAAAAGCTCGCACGTTGCCTTTAAACGGGGTGCTCCTGAATTCCTCCAGTAGGATGTGGTTCTTAGTTTGCGTCTTGTAGTTCAGTTGCTTCCGAAGATCCGTCCAGGTTATCAAGTTACTTACACCAAGGTATAACATCACTTCACTGCTGATGCAGCGTTCCACAATTCCAAAAAAAATTGACCTCTGCCTTGCATCGTTGGTGGTGTAGAGGGCCAAAATGTAGTCGATCCGGTTGATGAACGTGTACAAAGCGTTCTTATCTCCAGTGAACTTCTCAACGTTTTTAAGTTGGTTGATCACTTGTGCCATGTTGGCATCGGTCAGGGGTGTTATTGCGTTGCCTTCCATTATAAATTTTTTGTTTTTTTTATTTAATTATTTTTTATTTACTTGGTTTTATATTTAATTTTTATTATCTCTTAGTTTTTGTTGTTTCACTTCAGCTTCTCTTATTTTAGGTTCAGTTTCTTTTAGTTGTTGATTATATTTTTATTGTATTCACTTAATTTGTTAACTTATAGTTTAAAATGTTTGATTGGTTTGCACAGATAGCACTTTCGAATCTTTTGAGATAACCAGAAGTTTCTGGAATTATTTTCTCTTCGAATTCTATCGCGTCTTCTTGAATTGTTATTCAAGTTTTTTGCACAGTCCGCGGCTTTGACAATATGCGAATTTTGGTGTACACGTCACTGTTTAATAAAAACTTGACGTGATATTGACCGTCGCTTGGGTTGCCTTCGCGTTGGTTGTTTTAGCGGATAACAGTAAACGGGACACAAGAATTAATAACTTAGCTATTGCATCAGGATCCACAATTTATTGTTATCCTACCGGCTGCGCCAATTAGATTTTTCTTTATTTACTGTGAGTTTGAATCTTATAAAATCTAACGGTTAAATTGAATTAAAGACAAGGCGATATTTCACGACGAGTTCATTTATTGAAGAACAACTTAAGACTAACTGATAAGTGTGCATTGAGTTATAACGAAAGCTAATTTCGGGCATTTAAATGTTTACAATATTATAAAGGCTGGGAACGAAGTTACTCAGCGTTGGCTGGGAACGCATATCTACTGACAGTGAGTTATTTCGATCAATGCTGATCGATGGGGGAGAAGCCCGGATTAGCTGCTCTTTGTTTACAAGTGCAGCCTGTGAAAGTTTACATTATTGGGATGGGAAATTTGGTGTCTCGACTTATGTATAACGTGGACATCGAATATATTATGTATAACGTAGACATAGAATATGTCACTATATATACTCTTCTAGAAGCTACATGTCAAGTTTGGTGACTCTAGATCTTATTATTTACCAAAATTGATCAAAAAACATGATTTCGATATCGATTTTTATCGATTACTTGGAAACGGCAAATTATCAAGTATCGCACTAGGAGGACCTACAGCTAAAATTTCAAGTCTGTAGCTCTTATAGGTTCTGAGATTTTTGCGTTCATACATACGGACAGAAGGACAAACGGACAGACGGACGGACAAACTGACGGACATGGCTAGATCGACTCGGCTATTGATGCTGATAAAGAATATATATACTTTATGGGGTCGGAGATGTCTCCTTCTATGCGTTACACATTTCACGACAAAATTATAATACCCTCTGCAAGGGTATAAAAACTAGTCATAATTGAGTAAGAAAATTTCCTTTTTCGATTTTCAGGCATATTTGTATCAATATAAAGGGCGAAAAAGAAAAAAAGGGGCTTTTCACTAAATATATTTTGATTAAAATGAAAAAAGAAAAACTTAACTTGATATATATTAAGAGAAGAAGGATGCTAATTATATTATGATAAAGTAGGATTAAAATTAAATTATCTCTAAAAAACTACCAAAAAATAGGGAGATTTCCACTACATGTATTTTGATTAAAATGAATAAAGGAAAATATGACATTGGTATACGTTGAGAGAAGTAGGAAGCTAACTATTTTGTGAAAAAAGAGAAGGATTAAAATTCAGTTATCTCTAAAAATGTAGTCAAATTTGGGTAAGTTTATTTTCTATTTCGATTTTCAGGCATATTTGGATCAATATAAAGAGATAAAAAGGGGCTTTTCACTAAATTTATTTTGATTAAAAGGGAATAAGGACAAAAGAAAAAATTAATTTAAGAGAAGGAAGGTTATTATATTATGAAACGAGAAAGAAGGACTTTCTTCGGCACTCCGAAGATTTGAAGCCCTTGCAGACTAACCTTTTCATAATGCTCAAAGTGCTTTGACCGTATCCAAGAAGCACAGGAAAAATAGTTAATGCCGAGTATGGTTAAGATATCAAGAAAAGCAAAAACGTTTCCATACAACAAGTTAATTCTCGACCTATATATATGATAAAGTGGTCCGATGTTGATAGGATTTTGCATATATATGAGGAGTACAGTAAAACTAATAAATGCCGTTTGGTGAAGATATCTTGAAAAAGAAAAACATTTTCCATACAACAACTTAATTCTCGACCGGTTTCTATATCAGCTATATGATAAAGTAGTTCGATGTAAATCAGATTTTGCATAAATGAAGGGAGCATTGTAAAACTAATTAATGCCGAGTTTGGTCAAGATAACAAGAAAGTCAAAAATGTTTCCATATAGCAACTTAATTCTCGACCTATATATATGATAAAGTGGTCCGATGTTAATAGGATTTTGCATATATATGAGGAGTACAGTAAAACTAATAAATGTCGTTTGGTCAAGATATCTTGAAAAAGATAAACATTTTCCATACAACTTAATTCTCGACCGGTCGTTCCTATGTCCTATACGATATAGTAGTCCGATGTAAATAAAATTTAAATGAAAGGAGAATAGTAAATCCAATAAATGCCGAGTTTGGTCAAGATAGCTTGAAAAACAAACAATTTTCCAAACAAAACCTTAATTTTTGACCGATCGGCCTGATGTTGATAAGATTTCGCACATATATGGGGGGCATAGTAAACCTAATAAATGACAAATTTGGTCAAGATATCTAAATAAACAAAAGGTTTTTCATACAAGAACCTACTTTTCGACCGATCGTTCCTATGGCAGCTATATGATATAGTGCAACAGAAGGAGGCACTTCTGCAAAATTTCATAGAGATAGATTTATAACTGAGAGACAAGTTTGCTTAGAAACAGACAGACGGACAAACGTACATGGCTATATCGACTCGGCTGTTGATACTGATCAAAACAATATATACTTTATCGCGTAAGAGATGTCTGCTCCTAGACAAAATTATAAAACCCTCTGATTTAAATCAATTATCTCTAAAAAAAAATAGTCATTATTGGGTAAGAAAATGTCCAATTTCGATTTTCAGCCATAATTGGATCAATATAAAGGGCGTAAAAGAAAATTTGAGTTTTTCACTATATATATTTTGATTAAAAGGAAAAAAGGATAAAATAAAATTAAATTGATGTATATTAAGAAAAGAAGGGCGCTAATTAGTTTAT